CTGTTGGATCACCTTTCTCTGGAATGAGCACAAATATGGGTCTCTTCCAGTCAGTTGGCCAGGCATCTGTCTTCCAAATTTCTTGGCCTAGCCAAGTGAGTGCTTCCAGTGTTGCATCCATTTGTTGAATCATCTCAATTGGTATACTGTCAATTCCTGGAGGCTTGTTTTTTTGCCACTCCTTCAATGCAGCCTGGACTTCTTCCTTTAATACCATTGGTTCTTAATCATATGCTACCTCCTGAAACAGTTGAACATCAACCAATTCTTTTTGGTATAGTGACTCTGTGTATTCCTTCCATCTTCTTTTGATGTTTCTTGTGTCATTCAGTATTTGCCCATTGAATTCTCCAATATTGAAACTGGAGGCTTGATTTTTTTCTTCAGTTCTTTCTCCTTGAAAAATGCTAAAAACATTCTTGTCTTTTGGTTTTCTAACTCTAGGTCTTTGCACATTTCATTATGACACTTCACTTTGGCTCCTTGAGCTATTCTTTGAAATCTTCTGTTCACCTCTTTTACTTCACCATTTCTTCTATTCACTTTAGCAAGTCTACATTCAAGAGCAAGTTTCATAGTCTCTTCTGACATATTTTAGTCTCTTCCTTTCCTGTCTTTTTAATGACCTCTTGCTTTTTTCATGTATGATGTCATCCCACAACTCGCCTGGTCTTTGGTCACTAGTGTTCAATGCATCAAATCTACTCTTGAGATGGTCTCTAAATTCAAGTAGTATATACTCAAGATCATACTTTACCTTTGGTGGACTTGTTTTAATTTTCTTCAGCTTTAACTTAAACTTGCATATGAACAGTTAATGGACTATTCCACAGTCCACCCTGGCCTTGTTCTCACTGATGATATTGGTCTTTTCCATAGTCTCTTTCCACAGATGTAGTTGATTTGATTCCTATGTATTCCATCAGATAAGGCCCAGGTATATGGTTGCAATTTATGTTGTTGAGGAAAGGTATTTCCAATAAATATGTTGTTGATATTGCAAGATTCTATCACGTTATCTCTGGTGTTGTTTCTATCACAAAGGCCATACTTTCCAACTAATGATCCTTCTTCGTTTCCAACTTTCACATTCCAATCACCAGTAACTGTCAATGCACCTTGATTGCATGTTTGATCAATTTTCAACTGAAAAAGTTGGTAAAAATCTTCAACTTCTTCCTCTTTGCTATTTGTGGTTGGTGCATAAATTTGAATAACTCTCATTTGACTGATCTTCCTTGCAGGTGTATGGATATTATCCTATGACTGACAGTGCTGTACTTCAGGATAGATCTTGAAATGTTCTTTTTGACATTGAATGTGATGCCATTCCTCTTCAATTTATCATTCACAGATAGTAGACCACAGCTCAAAATGACCAATATAAGTCCATTTCAGCTCACTAATGCCTCAGACAGATGAGTAATGGGTGCTATACTATACGCCCAAATAAATTCCAGATTAATTCAAAAGTCACATGAAAGAATTAAAATGAAATAAATTAGGAAATACATATAAATGTTTAACTAATCTTCGGATGGGGAAGGGAAGCACAAACACTATAAGAAATGGTTAAAATATTCATACTATGGTATCTTATACAGCCATTAAAAAATTAAGTTTTTCAAAGAATTTTTAGAAATTCTTGAGGATAGGAAAATACTCATGAAATAATAAGAAGAAAGTAAGATACAAAACTGAACCAAAATAAGAACACACAAATTAAACTTTAAAAAAAAAAAAACTGCATATATACACAAAAAAGATATACCAAGATATCCCATTATCTATGGAATGATAGTTATCTGTGGATGGCAGAATTTTAGGTGAATTTTTACTTTCTCATCTGAATTGTTAAGATTTCCCCCATATTGTCTAGTATAAGACCTGAAAGATAAGGTTTTATTTATTTAATAGGATGAAATAATGAAAAACTATTTCAATTTAGCCACTAAAAAGCAGCAGAGTTTGAAATTATCCACTTTTTCATGTATATTTCACTTATTTAAAAAAAAAAAAAAAAAAAGCTAAGAACAAGAACACAGCCTTCTTAGAAGGACAGCAGAGCCACCACAGACAGTCTCATGTGTCTGTACCGCCCTCGCTCGCAGACTCAGCGGGGGCCTGGCACGGCCTCCACTGGCTCTGCCAGGACGACGTAACCATGCTGGCTGCATGTTCCCTACTTCTGCAGGTGGAGAAACCAGATTCACACAAAGACTTGGCAACAGCCTGGTCACTTCCCAAATAAGCTCCCTGGAGGCCCACAAAGGCCATAGCTACAGTATGCCCTGTTGTCCAGCCTGTGGGCTATCAGCACATGGAGCAGCCCAGTTTTCCCTGAGCCTCTGCAAATGTACCACACCAGCAAATGAAATCATCTGAGACCAAACATGAAGTGGGAGAGAGTCAAGGTTTGCTCCACTCCAAAGCCCTCTCTGAACTACTATCCCCACAGTCCAGCTCAGTCAATACCAAGTGAATCGAAGCCATCTCCGCAGGTCAGCCTTGCAACTGGTCTTCCTTCCCCACATGAACATTCTCTTCAAGGGAAATGTGGCCCCTCTCTTCCCCCATGAAATATCCTTTTCCCTTTGCCCTCCATGAGGTGCTGTCTCAGCATGTCTCTCTTGTGTGTTTCTCTTCACTGTTTCAATAAACTGTCTCTCCTCTGCCCCCCATCCCTGAATTTCAAATGAACAATGAATAATTTATTAGTGTAAGTATTTCCTGTAGTCCCTGGGTGGTACAGTTAACATGCAACTTTGCTAACTGAAAAGTTGGCCATTCAAGTTCACCCAGGTGTCTAAGAAGAAAGGCCTGCCAATTTACTGAAAACTCAGCCATTAAAAAGCCTATGGAGCACAGTTCTATGCTGATAAATATGGGGTTTCCATGAGTCAGAGTTGACTCGATGGCAACTGTTTTAACTGGTAGAAGTATGTCTCATCTAGACTTGGGGAGCTCTGGTGACATAGTGCCTAAGGCATTTGACTGCTAACCAGAAG